CCTCCCCACTTTGAGCTGGGGGGGGCGTGTGTTAATAAACTGGAAAATTCAACGGGGACAGGAATAATTTTAGCCTGGCAAACAGTAGGCAATCATTTGTGGCAATCACTCTAGAAAGACCCTCTAATTTTAGACATTTTTTTCTCTTATGCATAAACATCATCTTAAAATTGTCTCAGAAATGTTAAAATAGATGACCAATGGCAGTTGTTTCTCTGGAAGATGTATGACACCAGGAACTTTAGTCTTTCACCTAGCAGCTTGTCTTTTCCTTCTAATGAACATAGTATTTGTCTTTCATCAAACCCCGAGCCAACCCCTTCCCCGAGACTGCCTAGGAAAATAGGAAGAGGGGAAAGCATGGGATCTTTAGCCATCATCAGGCAAGAGTCCCATGGCCTCCAAGAGTGCGTAAGCCCATTAAAACATAGGGATTTTTCTGAGTGGTGTGGGGAAAGGGATGTTGGTTTATAAGGTTCGGGGCATAACCAGCTTCCCAAGCACAGCCCCAGTCCCAGCTCCAGAGGCAGACATCTGAATCGTGGCCGCCACCTCTGTGCCCATGTTTCTTGAAATAGAGCTTGTTTGGGAGCTATGGCTGGGGACAAGTGAGGTCAAGGGGATGGAGGTTGCCAAGCTCCTGAGGCTGGCACCTGGCAGGGTCTGGCTGTGTCAGCACCACTGCTGACAGTGGCCAGCTCAGTGGGCAAGGTGCACCTGGCCAAGAAGGGGACAGAGACAGGCTTGGAGTAGAACATTCTCAGGGGTGAGAGGCAGTGACAAGCAGGCTGTGCTTGTCAGAGTGGACCTGTGATGATTTCCATAGTGTCACACATGGATCTGCAAAATCCTACAGATCATAATTTGGCCTAATAATGCACCAAATGCAAACTAGCTTAAAACAAGCTGACCAGGAGATTAAAAAAAATTATTGTACTCTGTCTTCACAGGAGATCAAACCCAGGGCCTCACACATGCCAGGCAAGAAAGTTACCACTGCCTAACTCCTAAACTCTGACTGGTACTTTGTTGTTGTTGGTTGGTTGGTTTTTAGATCACCAGTTTAGACACAGGTGGATTAAGCAGTCAGTCTTGTTAGGATAAAAAAAGTTATCCAGAACCATTTCAAAAATTCAGCCTATTAGATGAAGAGAACCAAATTAGAAAAACAATTACCAGGGTTTGGGGTAGAGCAGGACAGAAATCCTGACTTTGGGCAATTATATATATATATATTTTTGTCTTTTTCTTTTTTGGTACTGGGGATCGAACCCAGGACGTTGCGCTTGCTAGGCAAGCGCTTTGCCACTGAGCTACATTCCAGCCCTGGGCAATTATATTTTAATTCTTTAGATGTTTCATTTAAATTTAAAAATTCAAGCACTTATTGAACACTTGTTGTATACAGCAACTGTTCCAGGTATTGAGAAGACTGCAATGACCTAAAAAAATATTTTTGAGGTTGTTCTTTCTTAGGATTTAGAGAGACCCCGAACATCACCAATGATTTCTCAAGCCAGATGCCAAAAGTACTAAAAATAATAAAAATATAGAGTGGCCAAATTTGGGGGTGACAAAGGCACTTCAGGATTAGGATGTAAGCACATATACTAGATGGTAATATTCACTTACAAAAGCAAATTAGGATTTTTTTTATTTCCAGAGTCTACACTGGGTGGCGCTCTGGGTCAGGACTGAAGCAGAAAGGAACAATGGAGAGTCGATGAATGCTATTTTAAAATGCTTCTGTGCTGCAAGCAGTTTCACTGTGAACGAGTACTGTGAAAGGGAAGAGGTTGCTTTAAGTCTTGATCAAAATGCAAAGTGAAGAGATAGGGAAAAATTCATGTGAAATCTATTATGTTAGAAAGATGGAGAATGAGGGGTATAAAAAATTAAATCAGATTCAAGGGAGATCTCAAATAGTGTAATTCCTTAGAAAGGAAAAATCACAAGTTCAGCAAAATAAAACACCAGGAAGCCGGTAGTCATAAGGAGTGGGGTGGGTCAAGGGGAAAAGGACAGGCGAATGAAGAGGAGAGAATGCAATGATGAATCCAATGTATATCCTACAAAATTAAAGAGAAGCTTTGGGTGGAGAGGGATGGGTGAGAATGTTGAAAGGGGTCACTTGATCAAGATATAATGTATTTGCAAACTGCTTTGTTAAATAGCAACTCCTTTGAACAACTACTTAAGATAATACAAAGGAGAAACCCTTAAAAATTTAAATCACAGAATGAAGGTGAACACACAGCCTTACTATCTAGAATAGAGAAAAGGAACCTGTGTTGAGAAACATTAGAATAAAGAAGGATGTGAAATAATCTGCATGCCTATTATCTCCATGTTGGAGGCTGAGACAGGAGTATCGTGTCTTAGACCAACTTGGGCTACAGGCATTCCTTGTCCCCAAAACAAACGAATAATAAGAGTTACTATGCAGAGACAGATTACATGAATTGAACATTACCTTTCATAAATATTGAAATAAATGAAATTGATTTAGTTAATTTTAAGTGATGTCTCTAATCAAGCCTGACTTGATGGGTTCTCCTTATCTTTTGGCCCAAGCTGGCCTCCTATCTTGGTCCTCTTGCTTTCCACGTTCTGGGGTTACAAGAGTGAGCCACTCTGCCCAGACCAAAATTGTTTAAATTTTGTTGTACTGGGGTTTGAACAACACATGTTAGAGGTTGACACAATACTGCTGAAATGTCTCTAAGTTTTTCACTGGTTCTTTTTAGGATAGAGTGGCAGGCATATGCTTGATTTCTTACCTGCCTACTTTCAGGAAAAAGGTGTGTGCAAATGCAGTCTCCCCTGGTAGAAACGAGAATTTTCTGTCTGGGCTGGCCTGCAACTGCAGTCCTCCCAACTGCAGCCTCTCGTGTACCTTATGATGTCAAGAGCCCCACTGTGTCCAGCCATGTGTTGAGGAGGGATCTCACAAAAATTTCTGCATGGATTGGGCTCAAACCGATTCTCCCATTCTCAGCCTCCAAATAGGATAAGTGTATGCCACAGTAGGCCTAGCTCCAGACTTCTCAAGCTCTCTAAAACATAGGGACTCTTCTGAGGAAAGATAGATGCTCCACCCATCTTTTACAGATCTTCTTGAGTAATACATTATTTTGTTTTAGCTTGAGAAGGGATTTGGACTGGTATTGCCCTTACTTTGTTGCCATGATGGTAAAGAGGAAGAAAGTAAAACATTCTACACACACACACACACACACACACACACACACACACACAATCAAGAACTTTACAGGAAACTTCAATATGTTGTGCCAATACCGATATGAAAATTTTTCACATAACCATAATCAATAAAACGGTGTTAATAACAAGGAAATCTCATGACCCAGAACCTTCATGCATCCAATTGTTTTGGATATTAAAATGTTCAAGGTCAACATTTCACGGTAAGGTCGCCATTTCCACTTTTACCATACACATACACACCCCTATACAATCCTGTACCTTTATAACACAGTTCTGAGAACTGTCCTAAGTCCATTTTCTTGCAATAAGAAAAGCATAATAGAATTTCAAATTTAAAATCCAGCTTAGAGCAAGTGAAAAGGCTATCTTTATCAGAAACTTTGAGTATTAAATTTTACCTTAAAAAGCATGACATCATCTGCTGACCTGTTACTTACTTTAAAAAGTGGGGATATGTATGGGGGGGAAAATTACCCTAATACCCTGATAAAATCAAGGTTTGCATGATTTTTAGATTTTGTACTAAAAATATGCTCGATAGACACAAGATAGTTAAATTTAGTACAGTAAGGAACAGTGGCACATACTTGCAATTACTCGAGACTGAGGCAGGATGATTGAGTTTCAGACAAGTTCTGAGCTCCATAGGAAGACCCTGTCTAAAACAAACAAAAAAATCTAGTGCACAGAATATTAGTACTAACTTTTGTGTACTAAAATGCATAAAACTGAACATTTAATAGCAGTATATTGCAGATAGTAGAGCACCTGCTAACAAGCATGAGTTCAAACAGTCTCATTACAAAAAAAGATGCACACATCCACATCCACACATCACTGACTGGGGGAGACAGCTCAGTGATGATCTAGCATGTTCAAGGCCCTGGCCTCCATCCAGCACCAAAAAAACCCCCCAACAAAAACACAACACAACACAAAGAAACTATCAGTGATCATGGTTTAGGCACACTGGGGTCTGATGTCACTGATTCTTATGACTTTGAAGGAACTGGACTTAAGTACTTGAAATTTGTTTTCATTACTACTGAGAGTTAACTATTCCTGTCTTAATAACCTTTAGTGCTTCTAATTATTTTCAGTTTTCATTTTTTTAGAATCAGGCATGAATATTTCTGGTTTGAGTCTTTGAAGAGTATTACATAAACACTCGTGTTCTGATCTTTGCTTTTAAGAAAAAAGTTGTGTAATTCTTCTCTCCAAAATAGTTTCTTTGCTAGTATAAGCCACAGCTGATTATGTAGGGCAGAGAAATAAAAATTTCCCATGCCTTTGATCTAACCTTGTGACTGCTATTTCTATCATGAACCCAGAGACTTGAAGCTATGTGCTCCAATTCAGAGCGTCAGTTCAAGTGCTTGCCATTCTTCGAGTGAGTATTCTGGAATGTTACATTTTAGGACATTCTTCATGACTATTTTGAATTTGTTATCACTATGAAGTTCATTTCCACCAGTGGTTTCTTTCAGGGATCAATTTAATTATCCATGAAGATGAACTCAAAGGAAGTTGCTGCCCCTTTATTAATGACCTGGACAACTTAAAATGCTCACAGTTCATTTTGTTTGAAAATACAAAAATCTATTTCCTTAGTGTGTCGCTAAGAAGAAAATCAAAGTCACAACTGGGTTTCCTTAGACTATATGTATATATTAAACTAATAAAGCTGATCACACCCCCTTTTATTTTCTAGATAACTCAGTAATATGAAAAGGCAGTAATGTTCAGTTGATACTTACGAGTCCACATACACATGATTTTGAGAATAATTTAATTCATTAACTTCAAGATATAACTATACACTAAAGACCATTATTTCAAATTTAAACGGATCCTTACAAGACCAAAATAACCCACAGGCCATGAGGTTGGTTTATCCTTTTTCCTTTTTGTTTAAACAAATGTGCACCACAATTCTTCAACAATAAGGCAAATGCCATGAATGTGAAAGCTGAGGTTGGCAAAATTCCACATCTATAACGAGGGGAGGTGAATGAGAGAGAAGTGGTAATCAGTAATCATTCTAAACAATCAGTTAACATCATGACAGGTTGGTCTGCAGCTTCAAAACTGTCCATTAAGTTTCTTTCTTCTTAATGATAAGAGGTCCCACGTTGTCTCCAGTCTCTTCGTTGTGTTTTGTGTGGGCTCCATCACAGAATGGGAACTAGGAAGAGAAGGAGAGGATGTGAAATATAGAAACCCCAAATTAGTACTATGCTTGGCAGGGTGGAGTGTGACGCTTAGTTCGGATATATTCTAAATTACAATTCTCTTGGCAATCTTATGGAAGCTTTCTTAAAGAGCATGTGTAGTGTGTGTGTGTGTGTGTGTGTGTGTGTGTGTGTGTGTGTGTGTGTGTGTGTGTGTGTGTGTGTGTGTGTGTGTGTGTGGAATCGACTCTAGATGGCATATAGATCATTACTTGAATCTTATACTATATTTCATCATGGATGCAGTAACTTTTCTATGCATATTTGCTAAGTGAATTATATTCATGGCATACTTATAAAAAACAAAAATATCCTTTATGGTGCTGGGGATTGAATTTAGGGCCTCATGTTTATGAAGCAAAACCATATTCCTAGCAGTATTTTAAGATTTTAAATTCAGTCATTTAAAATCAATTTGTGTATGGTCTGTATGTTCATTGTCTTAGCAGCCATCTTTTCCCCAAATTGTTCCACTTTTCTTGTTTTACACATTCTTAATATCTCTGCTTCCGACAAGTATTCCAGCATTCCCCTTTTGAGGTCTTCTTTGGGCTTTTTTTTTTTTTTGCCAATGGTGGCACTCTATCACTAGATCTATGCCTTCACATCCAGCTTCTTTTTGTGTGTTAGAGATAAGAATCTCTGCCCAGCCAGCCAGGTACAGGTGGCTCACACCTGTAATCCTAGCTACTCAGGAGGCTGAGATCTGAAGATCATGGTTTAAAGCCAGCCTGAGCAGGAAAGTCCATGAGACTCTTACCTCCAACTAATCACCAGAAAACTGGATGTGGTGCTGTGGCTCAAGTGATAGAGTGCTTGCCTTGAACTGAAGAGGCTCAGGGACAGTGCCCAGGCCCTGAACTCAAGCCCTACTACCACCACCAAAAAAAAAAAAATCTGCTCAGACTGGCTTCAAAGTTTGATTCTCAGATCTCAGCCTCCCAAGTGATCAGTGGTATTGCTTCAGTATCACTCTTGGCGAATTTCTCTTCAAGAGATGTGATAATGTAAATGTGCACTTTCCATTCCTTTTCATAATTTCACATTTTAGGTAAAACTAGTAAATACTAGTCCACAGGAAAGGAAAAGGACAAAACTCAATTTCTAATTGCTCCCTGAAGTGCTCCAAAGAAGCTGAATCCTGCAAGACATTGTGGGTTGTTTCATTCTGTTTAGAAGTCAACATCTTGTAGCCCTTTTGAGTCATAGCACATATTTTTACTTTTAAGCAGCCAAGGTTTTATAAAAACCGTATTTTAACCCAAAATTGTTCAGGCTGACTAGACTCTGGACACTTACTTATGTCCATTACTGCAGTATTTTGTAGAGTATACTTTGCAATAAGATCTTGTTGCTCCACTAGTATGTAGAGGTGGTTGCATTTCAAATTGTCCCTTTATTTGTATGTTTATCAAAATAAATTTTTCTTACTGAAAGTGTTTAAAGGTTCTTTGTTATTATTGATTAATCTACTGTACTGGGACAATTGTGTTCAAATGTCTCAGTATTTGAGAGGACGAGGTTTCCCTTGTCATTTTTTATTTCCTATGGTAATAATCAGGTACATTTTCATATTTGAACACTTTTGCTTTTAATATATCACTTGTTTAGGCATATCTTTTCTATTGTTAAGTAACAAGGGAATCCAGTGTTATAGACGATTCCTTGGGATTTTATAATTAGGAATGAAGATCCAATTAGCGGTAAATATTTGTTTCTATTTTTATGCTTTTTTCCACATACTTATTTCTACTTAACATAAACCATGAGGACCAGTCTTTTTTAATTACTCTTGCGCTTTGGAATGTTCCCACAACATGGAATCTGAGCTTCCCTCCTAAGACAAAGTACGCTGCAGGTCAAGGGAATTTGTTTGCAGGAGTAAAGTGACAGTCTTTCATTTAGCGGAGTAGGCACTTCTTTACTCAGTGAAGGGAGCAATTTTTGGATTATTGAAACTTGACTGCAATGGTGGATAACCTTAAATTATGCTATGTAAAAGCTTCTATCAGGAGATTAAAATACTGCTTGGCTGATATCAAATAGATTAGACCCTGTTGGAAAAAATAAGCAAAAACAAAAACAAAAAAAGAAACTACTGTCTCAAATAGTACTTTACCCCGAAGTTACTTTCATCATTTCCTCTCTATGGGTTCCTTTCATTCTTACTAAAATATGGACAGCCCTTTTGTGAAGCAGTATGAAACAGGCCAGTTTCTCAAACAGCAGAACACATAGTAAACCTAGGAGAGGAGAAATGTGTTACTGCTGGATACTTGTGGCTCACACCTGTCATCTTTTCTACTCAAGAGGCTGAGATCTGAGGATTGAGTATTTAAAGATAACCAGGGCAGACAAGCCATCAACATTTTTATCCCCAATTAACCATCAAAAAGCCAGAAAGGGAAGTATGACTCAAGTGGTAGAACATCAGCCTTGATCCAGAAAGCTAAATGAGAGTGCCTGGTCTTGAACTTAAGTCTCAGTACTTACTGGCACTCAAAAAAAAAAGAAAAAAAGATAGTTACTTCTCTACATTCCTGATGGATCTGACCCATTAGGTATCAGTGAATAAGCTTCCTATCACATGTAACATAGTCAGATCGGAAAAAGGTAGTTTTATTGCAAGTATGTTAATAATGTATGAATGAGGGAATAATTGTTAATTCATTCTAGCCATTTAATAAAATGTATTAATTATTCATCTTCTGAACTTAGTCATGACAACCTTAAGAATCTTGGGAGTATGGGGGCTTCCAAAAGTTCTCAAGAATACAGATGTACATGTCGTTAGGTCGAAAACGAACTTTACAACTTCCGTGCCGGGGGGGGGGGGGGGGGGGGGGGGGGGGGGGGGGGGGGAAGGAGGATGGGAAGGGGAAACAAAGGAGGAGGCTACAATGCTTGATAAGAAATGTACTCATTATCTTGCCCATGTAATTTTAACCCCTCTGTACAGTATTTTCACAATAAAAAAAGAACATTCATCAATTTGAATAGTACAGTGAATCCTAATAACAAGTGTTCAAGATTCAGTGAAAATTCATAATTCCTAGAAAACTGACAAAACTGCTAGACGCAATGAAGATTAATAAAGGCCATTAAGATCCTCCTGCCCTGCCCTTCCCAACAGATACTGAGAAAACTGGATATTGAGAAAACAGGGCTGACATTCCTCTTGAAGTGTTCCTACAGGAAATGACAGTCCCTAGTCTAACTGTCAGCAAACTAAACTGTAAAATGGAAAGAACAATCTTGGGATGTTTTGCTGAGTTATAACATTTAATAAGCATTCAAACCACCAGTTCATATTCACTTGTGACTCTAATCTGAGATATTTGTGGCCTTGGTGTAAGGAAGTAGACCCTTTCACCCTCTGGGAAAACAATCAAAGAGAACACTTGATCTCAAAGCTACCATTAAGAGCTTACTTACGCAGTTACATTATTTTCTTTATATTCACTATTTATATTTACTGAAATTCACTGACATACTCAGGCTTACAGCCTCTTTTGTTGACAGTCATACTATTACCCCACTTGGACATAGCTTCCATTTTTAATTACTCTGTTGAAATGACACCAAAAGGTCAACTCTCTACTTGCTTCACCCAACATCTTACAATCTATTTACCTGGTTGCCTTACCCAAGCTGACGTTTAGTACCAGTCATTGAAAAGTTTCTTGCTTTCAGTGGGAAAGGCATGTATGCTATCTTTAGTTTTATCCTAACTCTGGCCCATTCTATCTTCTAAAGTGACTCTTGTTGCTCTCTCCAAAATGCAGAAAATTGCCCAAGATTTCACCCTTAGCTCTTGATTTTTATCAAGAATCAGTTGCATTCCTATACTTGACTCATCAGTTTTGTTGATCGCTATCTCCAACCCTGATGTCTCTACTTCACTCCCACATATCAGATCACCTGATAAATATTTCCATTCAAATGTTACCTCATATTCATTCCTTAATGTGTCCTGCAAAACTGTCTTTTCACTGAATTCTTTGTTTCTGTTAATGTTATCACCTTCTTCTAATCCACAGGATTAGATTAGATTCTTTAGTGAGCTCCCAGTCTTCATAGAAAATCACTGCATTTGGCTGATTCTTCCCTCTTCATTTTTTCCCCCCTTTCCATAGCTAGCACTCTGGTGTAAGCATTATCACCTTAGGTCTGAAATTGCTTCAAGGACCTCTCCTCCAGCATGTCCACAGGCCTATGGTCATACTAGAACTTAAGATTCTCCTCAATTCACCTACTACTCAGTAGGAAGCAGAAGCTGGTACCAGGCCAACCCTCAATTCACTTACTCCTCAGAGGTTGGTGCCAGGCCAAGCCAAGACCTAAGACTTCAGCCTTCCTAACTTTCCTCATATGAGTTCTTTCTTGAAAGATTTTGAGATAGAGTCCCTAATACTTGCAGCTTATTCATAATTCATTAAGTCTTTTCAGGGGTACTTTGACTCTCAAATACTTTTTTTTTGTCAGTCATGGGGGCTGAACTCTGGGCCTGGACGCTGTCCCTCAGCATTTCAGCTCAAGGTTAGTGCCCTACCGCTTGACCCAAAGTGCCACTTCCGGCTTTTTTCTCTGCTTATGTGGTGCTGAGGAATCGAACCCAGGGCCTCACGCATGTGAGGCAAGCACTACCAGGCATCAAATACTTTCATTAAACTTTCCCAGAAAATGCTGGGTGTAAATGCTTCTGTTTATTTTTATTTAGTATTTTTAATCAGCTTACATTACATTCCACTGTTACATTTCCATGCATTTACAAATATTCCTAATACATCTCATGTTACCTATTAAAGTACTTGCACATTTATAATACACATACCACCTATTTTACCATTTAACTTTTCTCACATAGTAAACAAATTATTTCAGATTACTGAAGACTAATTGCAACTCTGACAGAAATTTTACAATTTTTAGATGCAATACGCTGTATGTTTTAGAAAACCTCCAACAGGCAAACATCTCTAAAAAGGAGTCTAGCCTGTAAAGTATTATTGAGAGATTACTTTCTAATGACCCTTGAGTACGTGCAAGCAACCTTACATTCAAACGGTGCTCTTCTTGTGATATGTTTGTTAACTTTTCCTTTATATTCAATACATTCATTTGCCAAGCAAGTTCAGACACAAAATTAAAAGCTAAGCTCAATTTTACTTGGAGAAATGAGTTAGTGAAATACATTGTTATAGTACTGGGTATAGAGCTTCTTCTATATTTGTGATATGTGATTCAGAAAATGGTGTTGACTGTGGAAGCTGCTCCCAAATTAATATGCTCTCGGAATTTTTTTTTTCTTCAGAACCATGGCCTTGTGCATATGAGGCAAGTGTTTGTGTTCCATCATTCTTTTATTTTTTTCTTGAAAGCTAACAGAGGTAATATTTTGTGTGTACACTATATTTTTCACAATGTACCAGAAATACTGAAGCCAGTCAGTTCACAAATACTTTCAGGATGACCTTGAGAGAGAAATCTGAAGGTATCATAGGTGACCCTTCCACAAGGAAGTATGATAAAATATAACCATCATTAAAAAAAATTTTTTTTAAAGAATCTTATGCTGTTAGATATTTAACTACAGGAACTTCAGCTGAAAGAAGCATAGTATATGCTTATATGTATATATGTTTATCAATGAGAAACTTAACAGTAACTTTTTAACAGTTTCTTCTGAATTTCCAAAATCCAGACATTAAAACTTAAAAAGACTTTACTTCTTTTGCTTCTTCATGTCTTCACTCTATATACTCTCATTCTTCAGAAACTAAGATCCACTTGGAGGAGAAATCCTTATAGTAAGGAGATTTTCCTATCTTTGGCTCAGCACATGGTTATATGTACCTGAACTCAGTAAGGGTGAGATATAATTTTACTGCATGATGATTATACCTTTTAGTAAATCTATTTATTAAGAGTGTATGGAGCCAGGTAACGGTGGCTCACACCTGCAATCCTAGATACTCAGGAGGTTGAGATCTGAGGATCCTGTTTCAAAGCTACCCTGGATAAGAAAGCCCATGAGACTGTTATCTCCACTAAAACTACCAAAAAAGCTGGAAGCTCAACTAGTAGAGTGCTACCCTTGAGCAAAAGAAGCTCAGAGACCCTGAGTTCAAGCCCCAGAACCAGCAAACAACAACAACAAAAATATATAAGGGAAAAAAAACCAGGATCCATTAAAGTAAAAGAAAGCTGGCAACATTGGCTCAAGCCTGTAATCCTACCTAAGAGATAAGAGATTGGTTTGATGTTATTAAAGACAGTGGCATCAACCTGTCATCCCAGTAACGAAGAGAAGCAGAAATAGGATTATAGTTCAGAGTTACCCAGGCATAAAGTGAAGCCCTTATCTTGAAAAGAACCAACACTGGCTGGGAATGTGGCTTAGTGGTAATGTGCATGCCTAGCATGCATGAAGCCCTGGGTTTGATTCCTCAGTACCACATAAACAGGAAAAAAGCTGGAAGTGGCGTTGTGGCTCAAGTAGTAGAGTGCTAGCCTTAAGCTGAAAAAACTAACATGAAAAGGACTATCAGAGTGACAGGGTATCAGAGGGAGAATACTTGTTTAACAAGAACAAGGTCCTCAGCCCAAACCACAGTACCACTAAAAAGGGAGGGGGGAGGAAGGAAAGAGAGAAGGATAGAAGAAATGTCTCGTATTTTAATATCTAGTAATGACAGAATAGTTTAAAAAGAAATATTCAAGCTAGGTACTAATGGCTCATGCCTGCAATCCTATCTACTTAGGAGGATGAGATCTGGACTTGAAATCTAGATTATGATTTGAAGCCAGACAGCTGGGTAAGAAAAGTATGTGAAACTCCATCTCCAGTTAACCAGCAAAATGCTAAACTGAAGTCATGGGATGGTATAGCACCTGCCAGCAGGAGAAGAAACCAAAAGGCCCTGAGTTTAAACCCCAGTAAAAAATGATACATTAGAAATAGTATAGTGTGAAGATTGTTTTCCTCACCTTTTTGGATCTCCAACAACGGCAGTACACAGCTTTATCTCCCAAATCTTCCATGTCAAAAGCATGTACTATCTTGGGGTTGTCTTTCTGGATGTGAAGGTTTACCATGGCTTTACTGCGGTGATCTTTAACATAGAATCTTTTGTAAGCTAGGTAACCAAGGGCTGCTGTCCCGGCAGCAACTGTAACTGCTGCAATCCATTCCACTAGAGCAGGGAAAAAGAGAGGGACAGTTATGAAAACCAAAATTTGCACTCACAGTTTAACATGAATGTTCACGAAGTGTGGCTTTTGAGTGCTAAGCAGCCTAATACATCAAGACTTTTATGTTAACAACATGAACAGAACATACTGGTACAATGGCCTTTGAAGACTTTTCCCAGCCTATGCTAAGGTAGCTGTGAATTTTCTATTAAGTAATAACAACTCAATTAAAAGATGAAAAGATTACTTTCCTGTCTCTCAGAAGAAAAACAAGGCTTAATAATCTTTTTTGAAGTGTTCATATATTTTAAGTAACTAGGAGCCTGTAGGTATCTATTACTTAAAAGAAAAAAAACAAACACTAAGAAATAGTTAGATTACAAACATGATTTTAAAAGATTCCAAATCATTACATGAACCAAATGCCTCAGGAGAGTTCATTTGAACTATAGGTAGTTCTTTAGACTTCAAAATGACTTACCAAAATTCAACTGCAGCTAGGGTATAAAAGCGTAACTACAGAATATTTGAAAACAAAACAAAACCAAAAAGAACTACGAAACAAAACCACTCTTAAGACTAAGCATTACAAGGAGATACTTTGCAGGATTCTGTACTTCAGAGTCATCTGAAAGTCAGTTTTTAAACAATTTCCAAAGTGCTCATTAAAACAAAATTAGAATATACTAATTTCAAAATTACAACTATATTCTCATGTGATAAATCCTGAATTTCTACTATCCATACAAATGTTTGTAGAGAATTTAGATAGTCACCTACTATGAGCTTAAACTGAACTTCTTTGAGTTCAACAATGTTACCCTACTAATAATAATATAAAAATTTTTTTTTGACTAACAGGCCATTTATTTATTCCTTTTTTGTCCAAAGACTCCTTAGAAACCCAGGTGCTTAACAACTACCCCAGGTCCAGGCAATGATGGAGAGATGCCAGTGGTGCATATCCTGGTTAGCCTCAGAGGAGAGTTGTCTATTCCCAGCATGGAGGGGACCGCATGGAGAAGTTGAACGGGGGTCAGGATAAGCACGCTGGACTGCTTCCCAGCACTTCCTGAGTCAGATCTTCGCAGTGTTTGAAATAAGTTCCCAGACTATCAAATAAAGCCCTAGAGAGATAAGTACAAAAACACATTCCAAGGCCAAACAAAAACATGTCAGAGCAATTAACCCTATGGCTTATTTTTCTATGGAGTCAAATTCCTAATTTCGCTAATATGATCTACTGCCACACTGGACAGTGCCTTACATAAACCTGGAGCTCAACAAATCTCTACGAGAAAGCAACCACCATTCTCACACTTGATTCCTCCCTGCAACCCCTTGGTCTTCTGATTTAATGGTTTAACTTTTATCACATTATTCTAATTGGTACATCCATTAATTCTAATTTCAACTATAGTCATATTTTTCCTTACAAATTGAATTATTTACCTTTGTATATTTCCATCCCTCTTTGCTATAAACCTCTAAACTAAACATTAATGAATCTTGACCTTCCAGTACTGCATGAGAAAACAAGTTAAGGCATCTGACATCTTCAACTGTGGTCTCACCAAACAGGGATTTTCTATAGATTTCTTTTTCCTGAATTTTAATGCTACCATCCTATGACAATTCTAAGCAGGGCTGAACCTTGAGGTTGATATTGTTTGTTGCTGGTACTGGGGGTGTGTGTGTGACAAAGCTGGGGGGGGGGGAACTTGACTTCAGGGACTGGGTACTGTCCCTGAGCATTTTTTGCTCAAGGCTGGTAGTCTACCACTTGAGCCACAGCTTCACTTTCAGCTTTTTGGAAGTTTCACAGACTTTTCTGCCTGGGCTGGCTCAAACCATGATCTTTTGATCTCAGCATCTTGAATAGCTAGAATTACAGGTGTGAGCCATGGGCAGATAGTATTAATCTTTTTGATGCTTTTACTTACCGTAGGACTTTACTGAGAAAATATTCCCAACATAAAGAGCTATAGCAGGGGGTGGGAATATGGCTTAGTGGTAGAGTGCTTGACTAGCATGCATGAATGAAGCCCTGGGTTTGATTCCTTGGTACCACATAAACAAAGAACAAGTACAAACAAGAACAGTAATTTGTCAATGATTAAAAAATAGGAAAGAGCTACAGCAATGGACTTTTTAGCTAATGGAAAAAATCCCTAATCTGAATAGCTAATATACATATAAAATGAACTAGGCCAGGCATGATGGCCTGTAATCCTAGCACACAAGAAGTGAGACAGGAGGATTGAGAGTTCAAGGCTAGTCTGGCAACATTTTGAGACTATGTCTTAAAAAGTTGTCTGGCTTTTTTTTCTTCAAGCAAGAAAGCAAACAAAGACCCTAAATGGACTAAAATATTACACTACTGAATAGTACATGCTCAATAATATTTGCTAAATGTTGTCTTTAGCACAAATTTGAAAGGGAACAATATTCCCCCTACCCCCCCAAAATAAAATAACACGTGTTACTGGTCTTAGTCAAACCCCCAAACCAGGTATTCTTTAATATATTTAATAGTGTCTACATACTGTAAAAAGTCATCAGGCATAAGGAGCTACAACTGACTAGTACTTACTGTTTCATGATATAAAAAGACTCCTATAGGGCCTTCTCTCCATCCCTCTTCCCCCTCAACCCCCCTCTTTCTTTTGGCTGTACTTAGGTTTGAACTCAGGCCTTAGGGCTTACTCCTCCAGACCTTTTGCTCATGTTAATTTGAGAGAGGGTCTTAGTTTTTGCCTGAAATAGCTAGGACCTACATCATTACACTTCCTGCTGCAGTGGAATGATATTACCAACATAAAGCATACATGACATTAAAGACAAACTATTTTTTTTTTTTTTTGTCAGTTGTTCATCTTGAACTCTGGGTCTAGGTGCTATTCCTGAGCTCTTCAGCTCAAGGCAATTGCTCTACCACTTGAGCCACAGCACCACTTCCCGGTTTCTGGTGGTTAATTAGAGATAAGAGTCTCAAGGACAGATTCTTGCCTGGGCTGGCTTTGAACTGTTATCCTCAGATCTCAGCCTCCTGAGTAGCTAGAATTACAGGCGTGAGCCACCGGTGCCTGGCTTAAAGACAAACTTTTACCTCACTTGGATAGAGTTTTTGATGGTGAAAGAAAGGACAGAATAGTGGAAAAAAACTAACACCATAGTATCATTAAACAAAATGGCCCTGACTGTAAAAATTACTCAAGTGGCTACTCCATGGAGAATAAAAACATGCACTCTGTGCCCTCGCCCCCGCCCCCCTTCCCCAGAAGGCTCACTTATAACCCTGAGTATATGCATCCAACATGGGCAGAAACATATGCTTGCATTTGCTCCAAATGAGTCTTTTAGAATCATAGAGGCAGATGAAGTCTTAAGAATTTCCAGTTCTTTTTCCTTCCCAAATTCCAATTCTCTAATCTCATTAGGGACAAATGCTAAGAGTTCCCAGAAGAAAGAAAAATGTTGCTATTTTATCATTTCACCACTGTGGCTTGAATCAGCTCTTCTAGCCAAAAGCTGTAACTCCAGGGAAAAGAAGGAAAAGGAAACTATACAGACAAAAATGCTGACAGATTAAAAAAAATCAACAGTTAGGATGGGAAAAGGACTCCAAATCCAACAGAAGGAATTATACAACCTAAATAACTGTAGTCCTTGACAGGTGTAAGTCTAATAAGAAGATTCATAATCTCAGGCAAGAGGGTACTTTACTAAGAACCACTTTTTTTTTTTTTTAAAGGATTCTTTAGCTGGTAACTTTTAGATACTGGGTCAGGACTAGGCATCCCCTAAAATCATAAGCAATATTTCTGCTTCTTCTGGTTTATCCTTGCCTTCCTTTTATGTAGACATTTCTCACAGTACAGTTGTGTTATAGTTAGATCAAGCTACACCTTGCCCCACCTTGCTCAATAAAGCTGTTAGACAAACACCATTAAAGAAAGAGAAATATTAAGAGAAAGTTACATCCTAGGTACCTCCTCTCCTGTTTTACTCTTCCCCTTGGCCTACTTTGGTATAACCTTTGGTTTCTCTCTTAAAATTATTCAGAGATGGAGAAAACATGGACTTGGCCCAAGCTCTATCCCCTTATATTCCTGAGGCCTCAAATTTTCTTTACTGTGATGATTATTTTGCTTTCATGTAGAAATCTCACCCTTCTTCTTTTCCTTAGGTCTGTTTTCTGACCCAAACTGCCCTTACCTACCCACTGTCAACTGTCACGGAATCAGATTGTTCCTCTTCCACCAGGTGGGGGGAGGGGAGCCGTGTTGAAACCCATCACAGCCTGAGATTTTCTAAGACTGGTAGCTGTGCCTGGCAATGGCACACGGGTGACCATTCAACATGAAAAGAAATAGTGGCTGACTAATTCAATTTCCAATTCTGCACACTCCACCAATGCCTTGTTCTTATGCCAAACAACAGGTCATTGCCTTCTTACTATTGTATCAAAGAGTAGCTTCCATCCTGAAATTAAATGAACAAACCCAACTCAAAAAACAATAGTATGGATCATCTCTAGTATGCAAAAAGAATGTGAAATGGTTCATTAACTGCTATCCCCTTTCCAACAAGCATCAACTGCTAGCCAGCCTTGTTTCTATAGCTCCAAAACCCAGTCCCCTTATAATTTATACCTTGTTCACAACCTACAAGAGTGAACTTTTTCCAATATGATCCTCCCATTCCTTTTGAGAAAAAAAAGCTAATCCTTGAAATGAATCAACCAATTGACTGAATCAATATGGTAAAGTTAAATAAATTAGAAAATTATAATCAGCTTTAATACACAAGGACATAAAAGTCAGAAAGTAAGAATTGGGGCTGGGAGGATAGCTTAGTGATAGAGTGCTAGCATGCATGAAACCTGGGTTTGATTCTTCAGTAACATATAAACAGAAAAAGTCAGAAGTGGTGCTGCGGCTCAAGTGGTAGAGTGCTAGCCTTGAGCAAGAGAAGCTCAGAGATAGTGACCAGGTCTTTAGTTCAAGTCCCAGGACTGGCCAAAAAAAAAAAAAAAAAGTAAGAATTTACAATATTTAAAAAAATTACTTGAAGGAAAGGCAAGTTAAGGAAGTTGATTTTTTAAAATATTTGGTCTCATTGACTTTTTTTTTTAAGTGATGGTGAACTGAGATTAACTTTTCTGAGAATTTTGTTTTGTTTTGTTTTTGCCAGTCCTGGGGCTTGAACTCAGAGCCTGGGCACGTCCTTGAACTTCTTTTGCTCAAGGCTAGCACTCACTTGAGCCACAGTGTCACTGGAAGCTTTTTCTGTTCATGTGGTACTGAGGAATCAAACCCAGGGTTTCATGCATGCTAAGCCAAATTCCCAGCCCCAAGGAGTTAGTCTTAAAAATAATAAATACCAGTGGTAACAGTCTAAGGGAAGAAAATGACATCTGAAAGATCTGGATAGAAGATGGTCCCAGACAGTCTCTTCTTTGCATATAGAAGGAAAGGGTTAAGGATGACAGCGTAGTCAGTGAGTTCAGAAAGCCCATCTATTGGACACAAAGAAGAATCACAAGAGACTGGGGAAGAGGGCAGTGAAGGCCACTTAGTGCTAGAAACCATAATGAATTAATGGTCTCATCTATCAAATATGTGTTCAGCACCATGACACTGCCTTGCATCTTTGACAGAATTTCAATTCTAATTACTTATTCTCATTGCATCTCCTTAACTCCAGTTCTGGCCTGATCCCTGTTCTTTTTATGTATAAACCAGTCATTATTTTTTCCTGAATATAAAAAATTCTGCATGCATATATAGTTAATTTTTAACATATATAGTCCTTACAGTAAGGTCTTTATCATTATGAATCCATTGAATTAAGAAGAGACATGATCATATACTAAGCTCAACTATCTAAATTGACATCCAATTCATAGAATTTAAGATCTGTCTAAAAAAAATTGGGAATATGTAAAATCTTGTTTTTTGAGATGTGTGTGGAGTAAATGTTTTGTTCTTCTAACTAAATTCCAGTAAGAGCTAATCTTTCACAATAATACATTACAAGGTAAACTGACATCTTGTGTCCCTACTTTCTCTGCCACTGAACTGGAGGAGGAAGTTTTTGGTAGAAGACACTTATAAAGGCCTATGGGACTCTCCCTTCCAATGCCTTTATGCTTTTTAGTGAAATAAAAAGTAGTTACTCCATATAACTTCAAGTGTAATCACTTGTTTACCAAGTGATTTCTTATCCCCTGGACAATGGTAAACTAATAGTCACTATTAAACTTGCATTATGGTAATTCTTAAATCCTTGTTTTAACTGCAGGAAAGATTAGCTTACAGATACTTACAGGAATTAGGAAGGTTCACTTATTTCCTATATCATTAGCATACTACCTAAACAAGAGTTCAGCGTCCACTTACACAAAATGTCCTCATAGTTTAAGCAAAAACATTTTGGCCCATAATACAAACAGACAGTCTTGCCATAAACTAAAATGGCATGCTGTACAAGTCACACAGTATTTTATTTTACCCAGTAAAAGAATATTCCTAAGTACTTAAGTGGCATTTGCCACGTGCCTTACTCCCAACTTTTGGAAGGCTGAGGCAGAATGATTTCTAGTTCAAGGCTAGCCTGGCCTGCACAGCAAGACCCTATCTGAAACAAATAGCAACATTTGAAAAGAAAACCACAAAAATCCTTTCCTACTTTAAACACATGAAGATACCAGTAAAGGAGCCCCAGGATGAGGACAATTTGAAATAACGTTTGCAATTGGTCACAATTAAAAAAAAATCACCAATAACTTAGGAATGTTATTACTTCTCCAACTTGCCCAGAAAATTTTGGTAGGCCTCTCCAGTTGGTGGACTCTTATCTTGATATTACAAAATCAGGGCTTATTAGTGGAGACTTTTTATAGAACCTGGCACTGTGGATGATCACACCTGCCCTGAATCAATTCGAATAAACTTCTGCACAATCTCTTTACCTTTCTCAACTTCAGTTACGGTTAGCCAAGCCTTGCGGGGGGAACTGGCAGTTCATAACCGGTCAGAGAAATGACATATACCACAGGGCTGTGGACAATACACCAGTCACCATATCCTCCAAACATGTGATCGAGTTCAATTCCACGCTACCCAGAGTTCACACATCCTCGGAACTGAAGTGTACCTTCTGTAAGGTGTTATTTTCTGAAACGTTAGGCACTTGCATAACGGAAAGGAAACTGAAGGATCAACGAACTTGTTGGGGTTTGTTTTGTTTTAATCCCTTTTCTTGGATTACCACCAAAAGCCCAAAGAGGGGAGGGGTATAATAACAAGTGGGGGAAACCGAGTATCTCTTAGAAACAGCACAAAACCACCATAACCTCCCCTGCACAACTCTGATATGATTAGTCATCCGCTGGGAGGGAGGGGGGCACGTTTGTCCCCGGTCCTCCCCCACCTCTCCGGCCTTGAGACCTAAGCGCGCAGAGCCGTGTTGGGGAGATCAGGGACCAGAGCTCGGCGGCCATCAGTAGATTTAGGGTTTGGCTAGATGGGCGGGGAAGGCGGGGGACGTGGCCCAGAGCCAGACCGACGGCAGCACGGCCCTCGGACACCGGTGCCCGGTGACCTCATCACCCTTTCCCCGCGCCGCCGCCGCCCGCAGCCGGACCCGAGCGCTCGTCCTTCTGCACCTCAAGGTTACGCGACCCGCAGGCGCGGAGGCAGCGCCAACCACCGTCCGAGGCTGCGGGCGCTGCAACCGGTGCGCAGGCCGCTACTCCCCGGCCCCCGCCACCGCCTCCCGCACCCGCCGCGGGACCTCTCCTCCCCCTCACCTCGCAGGCCGGAATCGGAAATCAGACCCATGGCGCCGGGGCTTGCAAGGCGTTCGCGCAGGACGCCGCGCACTAGCGGGCTCGTGAGGACCGCGGGAGTCAAGGTACCAGCCGCGTCCGCGGGCGCCGACTCCGGGGGGCCACCGCGCAGGCGCCGTGGCGGGCTGCAAACACGTGTGTGAGGTGGGCCGGGTGGCTGCTTACAGAGCATGCGTGGAGCTGAGCACAACCCGCTCCTTCCCCGCCCCGCCCCCCCCGCCCCCCGCAAGGAAGTCTGTGATCTGGAGTTTTGACAGCCGCTGGATCTGGGAAGTGGAGTGAGAGCGGCCAGCGACGGAGTCTGCGCGACTCGGAGGAGGCGGAGCCCGGGAAGGAAGGAATCCAGGCCGGATTTTACGTTTCCTCCCAGGTGCGTGGCTTTCGGATGCTGGAGGACTGGTGGCCTGGGAGGATTTAGTCCATTTAGGGTGGGTGAATCTGAACTCAGTTTTTTTTTACCTAAGATTTTCATGCCCACTTCCGGTGTTAATTTTACCTGTCAGGCCCAGGATCCGTCTTCGTAGAAGATGCTGACAGTCACACAAGATGCGCAAAGCCCTATTCTAGGATCTGTGGGGGGTCCCTGGGTGCTTCCATCCCCCCCTCGTAAAAACGTTTATTCATTTACTTTATTATTATAGAAGTGACATACCGAGAGTTTGCGATCACAAGACCCAGGTAATGAGTGCATTCCTCTTTGTAGAAGGTCTTCGGTGCCCTCATTTTTCCATGCCTTTCTGACTTTGACCTAATTAGTCATTTACTCCGAGCCCTGGGACCTGCGCTATCCAGATGAGAGGGGTGGGGGGGGAGGAGAGAAAGAGAGGGAAGGAGGAGGGGGAGAGAGAAAGAGAGAGGGAAGGAGGAGGGGGAGAGAGGAAGAGAGAGGGAAGGAGGAGGGGGAGAGAGAAAGAGAGAGGGAAGGAGGAGGGGGGAGAGGAAGAGAGGGAAGGAGGAGGGGGAGGAGAGGAAGGGAGAGGGAAGGAGGAGGGGGGAGAGGAAGAGAGGGAAGGAGGAGGGGGGGAGAGGAAGGAGAGATCCAATTTGTCCATCTTCCCCAAATGTACGTTCTTTAAAAAAGAGGATTGAGAGGGAGGAGAAAGCAAACAGTCCTCTGAACAAAACATCGTACCCACACGTCTGAAATACCCCTGGGATGGTCCCTGTCTTTGAACAACCCGAAATGAATGTCAGTCGCCACTGTTTTTCTTTTAACTACGGGCGGGTTGGCAGCGCTGGAAGGGTCTTTGAAGGTGCGTCTTCCCATCGGCTTCTTTCCCCGGCATTATGGGTGTTGTTTTAACCTCGGCGGCTTTCCTGTCGGGTAGGACTCGGGGACTTGCCTGCAGATGAGCGTCGGCCGTCCGAGCCACCCCGGCCCGGCCTCCGCCGGTCAACGCCCCCACTACCTGGCCGCTCCGAGCACCAGGGAGCCCGAGGGCTTCAGGGTCGCCCTGGAGGAGCTCAGCGGGTTTCCAGACTGGGTGCAGGCGCGACCTCTTCAGGGACAGCGTGACCCCTCACGTGACCCCCGCT